ACCAACTGAGCCACTCCACCTGGCCAGGGCCTTTTTATTTTTGATTTTATAATTATCAGGATCAAGATTCCTCTTTATTTCTAAAACAAATCCAGTAAATAAAATATTTACCTTTACTTTTTCTTATGATAGTTTCACAGAAAAATTCTAAATATGATATAGTTTCTGTAAGTCCTGCATGCAGTTTTTATTAATACTAACATCTTTCATTGCCATAGTACATTTGCAAAACTAAGAAATTAACATTACTCCAAGTATCATCCACTGAACTCAGATGTATTTGTGTAGTAGGCAGTTAGGCATGAGCAGGGTAGGAACTATACATAGGCCAAGTACAGAGGGTCACCAGGGTGGAGAGTTCCAGGTGCCTAGCAATGTGCAAAACTACAAGCCCTTGCATGACAACTCCCTTAAGCACTGACTCCTGGAGATGATATCTAGGTTTCATCTGTGTTTCAGCTCCAGGCCCAGAAAAGCAGCAAAACCAGGTGGAGTGACGCCATGGCTGACATCAGGACCAACTCTGATGACTAATGACCCCTTGCCTTGGCACAACAGTGAGGACCACAACCCTGAAGAGACACACCTGAAAAGCTGATGAATATCCTGTTGAGATCCTTCCCTGATACCTCCAAATAAAAGCCCTTAGGACAGAGGACCCAGTGTGGCTGTCTCTAAAGAGCACGCCCATGACTTTCCCCATCCCCTTTCCTCTCTCTTTCTCCCAAGCTCCAGGGGCCCTCCTTTTGCCTCTGTAACTTGTTTCCTGAGCCCATTTATTCTACAGTTCACTTCTACCTCTGTGACTTTCTAAATAAACTTTCTCCTATGGTTTGAGTTTTGCCTCTGAATTCTTTCTTAGCCAGAACTCAAGTATCAAGGTTGCTGAACAGAGGTCTGGTCTGATCCCACCTGCCTAACACCTGGTGCTGTTTTGCCTCCAATAATTGCATTTCACCAGTTTTTCCACTAATGCCTTTTTTCTGTTCCAGGATCTTATTCAGGATCCCACACTGCACTTAGTCATCATGTTTCCTTAGTCTTCTCCAACATTTGACAGTTTCTCAGTCTTTCCTTGTTTATCATGAACTTGACAGCTTTGAAGAGCACTGGCCAGATATTTTGTAAAATGTCCCTTAATTTGGGTTTGTCTGATGTTTTCTTTTGGTTAGACTAACGTATGGGTTTGAGGAAGAAGACTCAGAGGTAAAGTGCCTAAGAGGAAATTTATTTTTTAAAGACTCCTAGATGTCTTTAATGCTAATGGGATGAATTCTCAAAAGGAAAAGCTATTTCTTACAGAATAAATTTCAAGGAAAAGATATCAAAGGTTAATTTTCTTATGTATCCTTTGTTCTCCTGTATGTTTTCACTCCATCATATTAGCTAATGAGATGTCTGGGTTTGTTCTCAACACTTTAAAGCTGACTCAGCAATAAAAGGTCATGGCCTTTTCTTTCAAGGCTCTTTTTTTTTTTTAAATTCTGAGTTTTATTTATTTATTTATTTATTTTATTTTTAAAAATATATCTTTATTGATTTCAAAGAGAGGAAAGGAGAGGGAGAGAGAGAGAGAGAAACATCAATGATGAGAGAGTCATTGATAGGTTGCCTCCTACACACCCCCGACTGAGGATCGATCCCGAAACCCAGGCATGTGCCCTGGCTGAGAATCAAACCCGGGTCGCCTGGATCCTAGGTCGACACTCAACCGCTGAGCCAAGCCCGGCCAGCTGGGCTCTTTCAAGGATCACGTATAAACAGGTACCAGTTTTGATTTTATTTCATCATATTAGCCTACATGACACATCAACATGAGAAATGCACAATTTAACCATTCAACAGCTTGCCTTACTCCAAAAGAATACTATATTCATATTAAACATTTATACAGTCTTTCCACTAAACTTTACAAATATCCCAAACCATTTCCCAGGATTTCTCACATGGAAATCTAGTTTTGCTCTTTAAAATCATTGTTCTGTATCATCCCAGCAGATTCCAGGGCTTCCCTAGGATCATATGCTGAGGAGAGCAGGCCACCGTACAGCCTGNACACCCCCGACTGAGGATCGATCCCGAAACCCAGGCATGTGCCCTGGCTGGGAATCAAACCCGGGTCACCTGGATCCTAGGTCGACACTCAACCGCTGAGCCACGCCCGGCTAGCTGGGCTCTTTCAAGGATCACGTATAAACAGGTACCAGTTTTGATTTTATTTCATCATATTAGCCTACATGACACATCAACATGAGAAATGCACAATTTAACCATTCAACAGCTTGCCTTACTCCAAAAGAATACTATATTCATATTAAACATTTATACAGTCTTTCCACTAAACTTTACAAATATCCCAAACCATTTCCCAGGATTTCTCACATGGAAATCTAGTTTTGCTCTTTAAAATCATTGTTCTGTATCATCCCAGCAGATTCCAGGGCTTCCCTAGGATCATATGCTGAGGAGAGCAGGCCACCGTACAGCCTGCAGATGCCCAAGCAGATTTAGGCCCTGCCTCCCAGCTGCCCCCTCAGCATGGTAGTCTTGATTCCAAGAACTGAGTATTTGATATTAATGGTCAAGGACTAAAGGTTGTAGTGTATGACTACATCACAGTCACAAGAAGGAAGGGGACCATGGTCAAGGGAAATCCTAAGTGATGGATGGCAAATTTCTGCCCAAATATCTAAACCAAGTCCCAAACCCTCCTGAAACATACTTAACATTGGAGCCACTGCTTTCATTTCTTAAAAATGTTCAACAGTTGTGGACAAACTCTGAAAACAGTGAGCTGTTACACATTTGTGTGTGCATACATAACATATCAAAAATTACTGTGTGAAACCTTGAGAATGTCTGATTACATCCAAAATGTAAAAGTATAAGAAACACTAACTCAGATGATTTAACAGAACTTTTTCAATATGGTAACAGTGTAGTTCACTCTCTCTGCCTTCATCGTAAACCCACATCATAGCACATTATCTGTGCACAACCAGTCGTGTTAATTGTTACGATCAAGTCAGTTTTGAATCATGTCATTCTATGCTGGTTTTAGCAGTCACCATAGGAAACATTAAGTCACATCCTAGTCAAAAGACTGTCCATTTCTCAAACACAGAAAAACCTGAGGTATGAGTCAGCAACTAGCTACACTTACAGTAAAGAACAATACCCCCCCCCCAAAAAAAAAAAGCTGCTGACATGAATTAAGGCTTCAAAAGAGGACCATACTGTAGCTAACAAAACCCAAGCCAGGGAGTTTAAAAGCAGGGATGTATGATCACGTGTGTACTTGTCCTAAGCACCTCCTGTTTTCAGCTGCCAGGATTGATTCCATAGTGATTGTAGGTCGTGGACTGAGAGGCCACCTTGGTCCCACTCCATTTCAATAGGTCCCGTCTACTAAAGAAATGCTGGGGATAATTTCTGAGAATAGCTTGGCTGTGGCTTTCCACTTTGCTCACAACGAAACAAAATTCAACCACATTCTCCTCACCTCCTTACAGTTTTATTCTGAACATTCCTTGCTTACTAAAGCCTCTCTCAGCCCAATTAGTAAATCTGAAAGTCTAAGGAAATTATAGAAATACTACCACCCTCCTCACATGCTAAGGGGAAAAAACGCACTGAGAAATATGTTTCTTGCTTCTCCTCAGCAACTGTACAAACTTCCTTAATCTTATCATAGCTTTTCTCCCTCTTGATGGTTTCCCTTAAAAGTCTACCTATTGTTGCACTTTCACAAAATGTACCAGTGCAATGAGACAAGTGGAAAACATCTACTCCAGCTGAGAATCTGAAGGTGCTGCTGCTCTGCTACAACCCAAATAAATTCACATCTGGCTTTAAACCAAGTTAATCTTTATTTACAGGATTACCAACCCCGTTTTGAACAACTCTTTGATTTATAAAGAGGGAGGTAGATTTGATCAGCCTCCCAACTTAGCTTAAATCATTATGCCGCCAGATTCCTGGCTGTCGCNAGACTTGTTCAGCCTCCCAACTTAGCTTAAATCATTATGCTGCCAGATTCCTGGCTGTCTCACTGAATCCTAGAGGGCTTCCCTTCTCTCTCTTCATAAAGCTGAGAAAGAAAGAAAATACTAAACGCCTCCATCCAGGCCCAACTGGAAGTCTGTGCATAGACAGTTTGAATTGGTCTGAAGAGTGTGACTAGCTACCTACCTATTCACAATGCCGAGAAAATGGGCTCCCAGACATGGTAGTGGTGAAAGCCCCGACTCTGTCTGAGGTACTGGGTTTGCTCTAAAATAGATCTTGGCAAGGCCCCTAATGGTCTGAGCAGGAGAGTGATGCGTCAGTCACTCGGCTGTGCGGTGAGCTTGGATCTGAATCAGCTTTGGATGTGATCATTTCTCTTGANAGCTTGGATCTGAATCAGCTTTGGACGTGATCATTTCTCTTGAATTTGCCATTAGGTTCTGTCCCTAGGAGGGTCTACCCACCCGACCCACAAGCTGGCTCAGTCTCAGCGCTAAGGTGCACTACGGAAGGACGGGACACAGACTAGAACTTGAGATCTCTGTAGCACATGAAAACGGGAGGGGATTTTGCCCTCCAACACCAAAACGTGACTAGGTAAGAACGAGAGGATGTGCAATTCACTGCGTGTAACTGTTCTGTCTACAGGGAACTCTAGCATCTGCCCTTCCACTTTTGTGGAGAGAAACATTAGCTGGTCTCTCAGATGCAGATGTTTAGAACAACTGTGTTGATCCATCTTTTGCTTTTACACCATAGCTCCATTTTCAAAAAAAAAAAAATATATATATATATATATATACACACACACACACACACATATACATATATGTGTATATATATATACATATANACATATATGTGTATAATATATATACATATATGTATGTATGTATATGTATATATATATATATATATATCAGATTTACAGGGAATATTTTTGTGTGTGAATAAGAAAAAAACTGTCAACAGAGTCACGAGTGTCCTTCTTCTCAGGAGACCTCAATGATTTCCATGCTGCCTGAGAAGCTAGACTGGCTGCCCACTTTCCCTAGTTCTTCCCGTGACCTATTCTCAGACATGATGCTCTCTCCAAATTCCATCTGGCAGCTTCTGCGTTTAAACTGCTTTTCAAAGGGGCTCTCTTCATGCCAGCTCCGCCGGGAGTCAGCTCTGTCACTTGGCTTCTGCCGCCTGCGCACGGAATAGACTTGGTCACTGCACGTGGGCAGCTGGCTGCAGCTGTAGGCAGAGTAACTGGCACTGCCTCCGTAGATGGCTGAGGCAGAGTAGAAGTGAGAGGACTCCGTGGCAAAATACCAGCTGTTGGTCAAAGAAGGGGTGGAGGTCTGGGGAGCCAAGATATCTGAGTGCCAGCCCTTGAGGCCCAGTCCAGCGGCAGACTTCGCGAGGTGTTGCTGGCTGGTGGAAAGGCCAAAGAGAAAGTTGGTGTGGTAGTTGTCTTCCACGCTCCCACTTCGATGCAATGGAGATAAGAAGGACCTCTGGGTGGCACCACTACTGCTGGTTCTTACTGAATGTAACCGCTTGCTCTGGCTGTCTGAAGGCCTGGTAGTCTGTGGCTTCTTAGGGATGTTGGCTTCCTCCTTATCGGGGCTGGTTTCTGGAGTCTGCTCTGACACTTCCTCAACTGGGGAGAACTGGCATAGCTTGCTGGCCCCATCCAGAGTGGTGGAAGGTTTGTAGTAGTCCAGAGAGTCTTCTGACGAGGGGAAACCATGCAAGGATGCTGCCATACTGGCCGAGTACGAAACGGATTTGATATCCAGAGAGAAGGAACGCTTGAGCTTATTGCTGTCTTCCAGCTTGTCTGAGGACAGGTGGAGCCCGTTGAGCGCCTGTACCAGTGGGCTGTCCTCTAGCAGTGATGGCTGTATGCTGGGCACACTGGCAGGATGCACAGGCCTCTGCCCTGCTGCCTCTGAGGTAGCAGAGTCGGCACAGGGTGGACTGAGGGATGTCTCGCTTCTCTGTCCACCCTCTGAGACTGCAGGGACAGGTTCATTTGGCTTCTCCAGGTGCAGCAGCTTGAGTTTGCTCTTTGGCCCTGATGCTCCAGTCTGGTTCTTAATCTTCTTCTCATAGTCCAGGAGTTGGCCCAGAAAATTGAAGTTTGGAGATATAGTAGGTCTTTTTTCTTTCACAAATCTATGAAGGAAAAAAAAACCAAACCTTTGAATTTTATTACTACACTTTATCTTAGGAATATTAAGTGAATAAATGAGATAGGGAGTTATCAGACACACCCTCCCAAATGCCTTTGGAAGATGATTGTTTTAATCAGGCAGACACCTCAAGGTAGAGAACAGAAAGCCTCTGCATTGGGGGACATTTTTAACATGTCCCCAGAGCATGCTAGAAAGGGAGGTGCCAGGTCCCCAAAAGCTCTAGTTTTAGCTTCTTTATTTTCAAGGACCCAAAGCTTCCAATGCAATTGATGAGATGGTTCCTTCCTCACCACCAAGACCCCTCCCCCAGGCACTACCATCAGAAAGAAGTACGGTAACAACTGTACTTTCCATCTTCTGTTTCCTAATATCATGCCTCCTCAAAGTCCCCAAAGTCACTTCCTCAAGACAGTTCACAATATAAATTAATGACCAAAAAAGAGGTTATCAGATGGACAGAGCACCGAAGCACACATTTCTGAGTTCCTTTTTTGTTCTCAATCGGACAGCTACAGTGGTCTGTGTGTGCCCAGCACTGTGCTGATGTGTTAACAGTGTTATCCAGTCCTCCAAACCACCCTTCGTCAGGTGGGTATAATTATCCCCGTCATATAGGTACCTAAAGTCCTTAAGTGACTTGCCTAAATCACACAGCTACTAAGTGATGGCACTGAGATTCAAAACCAGGTCTAAGGTCCATTTTTGTCACAACCACGTTAAAGAAGATTCATCGAGGGATCAAAACCAATAATAAATAGCTGTTATGTTTCATTGCGGAAATAGACTCTTAAGAGATAGCAGATAAACCCTTTAGTGGCCCCTGGACCTCATGGACGCTCCTCAGAAGACGTAGGANTCTTTGATTTATAAAGAGGGAGGTAGACTTGTTCAGCCTCCCAACTTAGCTTAAATCATTATGCTGCCAGATTCCTGGCTGTCTCACTGAATCCTAGAGGGCTTCCCTTCTCTCTCTTCATAAAGCTGAGAAAGAAAGAAAATACTAAACGCCTCCATCCAGGCCCAACTGGAAGTCTGTGCATAGACAGTTTGAATTGGTCTGAAGAGTGTGACCAGCTACCTACCTATTCACAATGCCGAGAAAATGGGCTCCCAGACATGGTAGTGGTGAAAGCCCCGACTCTGTCTGAGGTACTGGGTTTGCTCTAAAATAGATCTTGGCAAGGCCCCTAATGGTCTGAGCAGGAGAGTGATGCGTCAGTCACTCGGCTGTGCGGTGAGCTTGGATCTGAATCAGCTTTGGATGTGATCATTTCTCTTGAATTTGCCATTAGGTTCTGTCCCTAGGAGGGTCTACCCACCCGACCCACAAGCTGGCTCAGTCTCAGCGCTAAGGTGCACTACGGAAGGACGGGACACAGACTAGAACTTGAGATCTCTGTAGCACATGAAAACGGGAGGGGATTTTGCCCTCCAACACCAAAACGTGACTAGGTAAGAACGAGAGGATGTGCAATTCACTGCGTGTAACTGTTCTGTCTACAGGGAACTCTAGCATCTGCCCTTCCACTTTTGTGGAGAGAAACATTAGCTGGTCTCTCAGATGCAGATGTTTAGAACAACTGTGTTGATCCATCTTTTGCTTTTACACCATAGCTCCATTTTCAAAAAAAAAAAAATATATATATATATATACACACACACACACACACACACACATATACATATATGTGTATAATATATATACATATATGTATGTATGTATATGTATATATATATATATATATATCAGATTTACAGGGAATATTTTTGTGTGTGAATAAGAAAAAAACTGTCAACAGAGTCACGAGTGTCCTTCTTCTCAGGAGACCTCAATGATTTCCATGCTGCCTGAGAAGCTAGACTGGCTGCCCACTTTCCCTAGTTCTTCCCGTGACCTATTCTCAGACATGATGCTCTCTCCAAATTCCATCTGGCAGCTTCTGCGTTTAAACTGCTTTTCAAAGGGGCTCTCTTCATGCCAGCTCCCCTGGGAGGGGCTGGAGTCACAAAGATGGTGAACATAGGTTCCTGCTCTCAAGATCACCTTTAGTTGAAAGACAGGGTGTTACAAAATGATCTAAACCAACTTGATTTCATGATCAGCATATCCTTCTTGGTGGATGACAGTAGCTTCCAATAATTAGAGGTGCATGGAAGAATACAGATGCCTCCTGCCCACCACCTCCCTACCAGGTGGTGTGTGATAATTACAGCAAGTAATTACAACAAACACCTTGCATGAAAGTTTCACCAGAGGCAAATGTGACTGTGCCCTCACAACAGATCAACTCAATCACACCAAATGGTAGCAGCCTCCAATAAGTGGAAAACCCAGGAATGAGTGGGGTTAGACCTCGGGTTCTCTTTATTCTGCCCAGGAGAAGACAGAACTCCTGTACAAGTCTTTCTAGTCCATTTTACAATCTAGCTTGATCACCACCCATTCTTTAAGTGGAAGATGACTTCTACATCCCTTACCGAGGAACAAGTCCTCTGGTACAGATTTAAATAAGGATGTTTGAAGTTGNGATGACTTCTACATCCCTTACCGAGGAACAAGTCCTCTGGTACAGATTTAAATAAGGGTGTTTGAAGTTGTGCAGCCCCCTCTAGACTGGTGAAACTTGCTAGGGTTTTAAAAATGTTCCCTAACCACCCTTGACGTATGAGTTTCTCATTAAGATACTAACTAAAAGCTCCAGGTTGTGGATTAAAATTAATTTCCATGCATACTATACTGCTAGAAAAAATACAACACAAAAATTGAAGTAATTATAATATAGTGTGATAGGAACAGATAAAGGTATGTATGAAGCACTCTGAGAGCCCAAATATGGAGCTGGGTGGGGTAAGGGTGAGGTTCACAGTAGGGATGTTGGAGAAACTTCCAGAGAAGGCCATCTTAACCACAGCTCCAAAAAAATGACAGGATATTCATCAGGGAGGCGAGGAGAGAAAGGAATTCTGGATGGAGGGAGAAAGCAGGAAAGGGCACAGAGGCAGGAAGAGGCTTAGAATAGGCATGGTGTGGGATCACAGAGAAGGTGGCAGTGATGGAGATGGGAAAGGTAAGGGAATGCTAGTCTTAAGGTCACCCCAGACTGAAAAGTGTGGATTTGATCCTATGGGTAACAGGAAACCATTAGAGGATTTTACTATTCTTTTTTTTTATTCTCATTGCCATCACCTCTCCCCATTGGCAACTATCATTTTGTTCTCTGTATCCATGGGCCTGTTTCTGTTTTGTTTTGTTTGTTCATTTGTTTTGTGTGTTTTAATTCCACTTATGAGTAAAGTCATAAGGTATTTGTCTTTCTGTCTGACTTATTTCACTTAGCATAGTGCCCTCTAGGTCAATCCATGTTGTGGCAAATGGTAGGATTTCCTTCTTTTTTATGGTTGTATAATATGCCATTATGTATATGTATCACACTTTCTCTAGCCAATTTTCTATTGGTAGGCATCTAGGTTGTTTCCACGTCTTGTCTATTGTAGATAATGCTGCAATGAACATACGGTGTGTATCTTTTCAAATTAGTGTTTTTGCATTAGAAGACTTTAAGTAGGATGTAAACTACATGATCAGATTTCTGTTTTCCAGGGATATATCTGGCAGCCACACAGATGGAAGGTGGGAGGGAGAAGGAACTGGAATCAGAATGGCCAGTTAAAACTTAGGGTAATGGCTCTGGCAAGAGACGTAGACAATAGTGTTGGTGAAGGAGCTGTAATGAAGTTACCTTATTGAGCACTTACTCTGAGCCAGGTTCTATGCTAAGCACCTTCTGTATATTAACTCATTTCATCCTCATAACCTTATGAGGTTGGTACTGTTATCACCCCCATTTTAGAAATAAAGAGAGGCCCAGATAAGTTTGCCAGATTAAATACCAGACACCCAATTATATTTGAGTTTCAGATAAAGAAGGACTATTTTTCAGTATAAATATGTCTTATACTTTGCATATATAAATAGGCAATACCTTTTGGAATCTGGCACCCTTAGAGCCAGAAAGATGAAGTGAGTTGCTCAAGGTGTCTTAGCGCCAGGATTGGAATGGGGCAACCTGGCAAGAGCTGAGCTGGGCTCCAAGGTGCCTGCACTAAGCCACCTGCCGAGTAAAGCAGGGCGGAATCTCCGCCCACCAGAAGCTTGCCTAGGCAGTTGGAGTTAATCACCAGGCAGCCCTTCCTTTGCCCTCTTAATCTTCCTGTTCTCTCAGGGCATATTTCTTAGGAGAGGTCTCAAAACTTAAACCTTAATGCTTAGAACAAAACCCATGCCCTGTGACTAAGTAACTGCCTCTCCCGACTTTCGACTTTTGCTGCCCGGAGGGATCTGAACACATGTAAGGATTTCCATTTCCCCTGCCAAGCGAGCGCTGTAATTAGGAGCTTACTCAACCTGATCTTCACTCACAATGTGCACTCACTGCTCTGCCTTCTTGTTGCTACTGGCCTGGGATTAAAAAAACACGCAATTAAACAGAAGCATTTAACAGATTTAATAAGGTTTCTCATCTGAGGCACAAAAGACAATTTTCCTTTCAACATTGGAATGTTTCAGACTTTCAGCAAATGGATCCTAGGTGTGGGCGGTACAATACGGTCCAGGCCGAGATTACCACCCTCAAGAGTTTCCTGAAAAAGACAGATGTGAAAAACTCCTGTAAGAAAGGGATGTGGAGGGGGCTGTGGGCGTCCAGAGCAGGGAGCTCATGTGCCCAGGAGGAAGGTGGGATTATGAGGGCCTGGCTACTCACAGCGTGGTCCTCAGACCTGCCCTATGGGCATCACCTGAGAGCCTGTTAGAAACACAGAACGTGCCCCATGCCCTAGACCTACAGCATCAACCTACATTTTAAGATCTAAGAATGACTCCTATGTACTTCAAAGTCTGAGAAGCATTACCTTAAAGAACACCAGAAATAACACGTAAAATGAATCAGGTTTTCCAAGTGGGGTCTAGAAGAAAGGCAGTGAAGGGAGGGTACAGCATAAGCAAAGGCATGGATCTGTGAAGAGAAATTACCCTTCCCTCCCCGCCTTTATCCATGGGGAAATATTCCAAGACCCCAGTGGATACCTGAAACCCTATATATACTGTATTTTCCTATACATGCACATCTTTTCCCTTAAAGGGTGCACTTTACGGTTTCTCTTGGGTGAATTCAAATTGCCAGCATCACTACTCTTGTACTTTGGAGTCACTATTAAGTAAAATAAAGGTTCCTTGAACACAAGCACCGGGAAACCATGACAGGATGGAAGGGAATGGTACGAGAATTCATCAGGCTATTGAGAACAGAGCACAATTTAAAACTTAAGAATTGTTTATTTCTGGGATTTTCCATTTAATATTTTTGGACCAGGATGAAACTGCAGAAAGCAAAACCACAAATAAGAGGGGACTACTGTATTCAGGAAACAACACAAAGCTTTGATATGTCTAGTGCCTAATGGTACGTGGGAAAAGATGGGTAGGGGGACTGAAAAGGCCGGCAAAGACAGCCTCAGAGAGGCAAGATTGTGGGGGGACTTGTTGGAGGGTGGGAAGCAGAGTTTGCCACCTCAAAATATGCGTTTTTGAGGATATTGATTGTTTTAAGTTGGTAATTTTAAGAAACAAAAGAATCAAGAAGAACCTTTCACCTCCTGAACGACCTAGAAGAATTTAGATAGAGGATCTGTGCCAGGAAGGGAGCCATCCTCATAGATAACTATATTTTAATATAAACCAGGTGTGATAAAAGGGAGGGATCTAGCAAGGCCCCTTTGATCAAAGTCCTCACTGTGTCCTACTGTAAAATAAGCTCAGGAAACATTTGTTTGGCAAACATTTGCTTTCCATCTCCATGTGAATTACCTTCCTGCCCTTTGAAGTCTCACATCACAGCCACCCCCCACATCCCTTTCTCCTTAACTCAAGACAACAAATAAGCCTTAACTACCCCATTTGGCCTCTGGGCACTATCTTTTTATGGAACCGCTATACATATATATGCAATAAATTTGGTTATTTTCTCCCATTAACCTGTCTCATGATTAATTTGATTATTAGACCAGCCAGAAGAACTTAGAAGGGTAGAAGGAATATTATTTTTTTCTTCTCTATGCTTTATTACCATGAGAAAGGGTTTGATATTTTTAAATAAAAATTTTCAAGCATACAAAAAAAATTAAAAATATAAAATAAAGAATGTAAAGTATAAACTAACAATTACAGATACAGCCTCCTGTGTATTTCTACTCACCTCCATTCCATTCACCTCCCTCCTTCCTGGATCTAACAACTATTTTGAATTTGGTGCTTTTCATGCATGCTTTTAGTTTTTATACAATGTCTATATACAGAAATAATATTGTTTTGCATGCTAGTTAATGACATGTATTTTACTGCAACTTGATTTTCTGGCTCATTTTGTTTGAAATCCATCTACGGTCATACACAAGGCTCTGGTTAATTCATTTTCAATTATCATATAGTAATTCTATGGATGAATATATCACTGTTTATCTGTCTAGTTTTCTAATGATGGATTTTTTTTTCTGGTATAAACAATGTTTAGATGAGGGTGTTGTGGATCTCCTTGTGCACATGCTTGAATTTCTCTGGGGAACATTTCTAAGAATGGGGTTGTTGGGTCATAGAATGTACATCCCTACAACTTCACTAGAAACTGTCAGATTGTTCTCTAAAATGCTTGTACCAATTTAAAGCATGAAAGCATGAAAGTTCCTGTTTCTCCACATCCTCTCTAACACTTGATATTGTCATATTTTAAAATTCTTGCCAATTTGATGAGAGTGGAATGGTATCTCATTTTCATTTCCTCAGTTACTAAGTAGGACATGTTATTGTATATTTATTGGATACTCGGGTTTCTCTTTTGTGAATTTCCAGTTAGTATCCATTGCCTGCTAACCTACTGGGTTGGTTGACTCATATTGATATGTAGAGTTATTAATATATTCTAGGCACGACTCCTTTATTAGT